TTGCCAATCCATGAAAGGCAATATGGAAAACTCTCAAAATTACAAACACAATCCTCTAACCCAACATTACCATTTCTGGAAAGTTTTCCTACATACATACACATCACAAAATGAATTACGTCCACAGCGATTCATTACAGTACTGTATAATTTAGAGCAGAAAAACTAAGAAAGCCCATTCTACCGCAGGCTGGTTAAGTAAACTAAGGTACTATCATACAACAGAAGTCCATGCAGTTGTAAAAATGAGTAAAGCAGCACTCTCTGACAAATATGGAAAGATCTGGTTGTGAAGTGAAAAAAGCAAGTGCACAACAGTGTATATTTTGTACTGCCTCTTTTATTAGAAAGATGAAAATAAGTACATATCCTCACCTTGTATGTGTATATGAAACTGAAAGGATATACAAAAAAATGAATAGTCAATACTTACGGGAACAGAGTAGATAGGCACATGGGTGAAAATTAAGACCTATCACTGTATAACCTTTCGTACGGTTTTGATTTCTCAACCATGCAAATGTATTACATATTACTCATTCAAAAATATAAAGTTTTTGGAGAAACCAAGATGGCGGCGTAGGTAAACACCGGAGAGTGCTGCCTCACACAACCACTTCAAAAATACAACTAAAAGACAGAACAGACATCACCCAGAACCACAGGAAGGCTGGTTGAGTGGAAATTCCACAACTAGAAGGAAAGAGAAAAGCATACCGAGACTCAGAAGAGGCACAGTGCAGAAGTGAAATACTAAGGTGGGATGGTGCGTGGAGCGGGCTGGCGGCTGAGGGCGAGGTTGTCGTTTTCAATCAGGAGGGAGTCTCAGGCTCTGAGCTCCAGTTCTGGGCGAGTCTCTAGGGACCCAGACTCAAACAGGAGAAGTGGGACTGTCTGGCATCGGTTGGAACTTGAGGGCAGCTTTCCCTCCGAGGTTTGCAGCAGTTGCTGGGACACTGTAAGGCAGAGCCTCTGGGGACGGGATTGACAGCAGCCATAACTGCTCGCTCCGCCTGCCTTGTTGATCTCCTGGGACCCGCCCCGTCCAAGCTCTGCACAGAGGCATTTGCAAGATAGCCTCAGGCAAAGGCTAGATTAGCACCTCCCTAGAGGACAGAAGTTCTCCCAGTGCAGACACAGCTGATTCTCACAGCCAGTTGGCCTGGAGGTCAAATCCCTCCCAGTGTTACCTACAACAATCAAGGCTTATCTACAACAAGATGCACAAAGACCACAAGGGGGTGCACCAAGAGTGTCCTCCTCATGTAATTGGGGAGGCTGAACCACTGGGCCCTATAGGACACTCAGCACAGAAAGCCACTCTATCAACACAGGGAAGCATAAAAAATGCGGAGACAAAGAAAAAGGACACAAATGACAGAAATGGAGGAAAGCAAACTACTTTGAAGGGCAGATAAAGAGCTTCACAGATAAGGAAAAGCTAAAGGAATTCATCACCACCAAACCGGTATTATATGAAATGCTGAAAGGTATCCTTTAAGAAGAGGAAGAAGAAGAAAAAGGTAAAGATACAAATTATGAACAACAAACATGCATCTATCAACAAGTGAATGTAAGAATCAAGTGAATAAATAATCTGGTGATAATAATAGAATCAGGGACATAGAAAGGGAATGGATTGACTATTCTTGGGGGGCAAAGGGGGGTGGGAGATTGCGGGAAGAACTGGACAAAAATCGTGCACCTATGGATAAGGACAGTGGGTGGGGAGTGAGGGCGGAGGGTGGGGTGGGAACTGGGAGGAGGGGAGTTATGAGGGGAAAAAAGAGGAACAAATGTAATAATCTGAACAATAAAGATTTAATTTATATATATATATATATAAAGTTTTAAAAATAAACTGAAGAGAAAATTGTCCCTCCTGCTTCCTTCTTAGTATGGGCAGATACTTTCAACCTACCTCCTAGGGGATGGAGACCTCGAAGATTTCCTTTTTATGGTTTTTGATGTTCTTGGGGATCTAGAAGAACTCCTGCTCCGCCTCCTTCGCCTTTCCCTGAAAGTCAACGACATGCCATATATTACAACAGCAATTTAAATAAAGTGCAATTCATATCAGTAGACAAGTGGATAAAAAAGCTGTGGTACATTTATACCATGGAATACTATGCAGCAGGAAAAGAGAAGGATCTCTTACCCTTTGAAACAGCATGGAGGCATCTAGTATCATGCTAAGTGAAATAAGCCAGTCAGAGAAAGACAAATATCACATGATCTCACTCATATGTGGAACCTAATTAACAAAATAAACTGATGAACACAGTGGATCCAGAGACATGGAAGCATGGAACATAGTGCAAAATCTCAGAGAGAAAGCTGGAGAGGTGGGTGGGTGGGAGATAATCAACCAAAGAACTTGTATGCATATATGCATAACCCATGGACACAGACAATTGGGTGGTGAAGGCCTGGAGTGGGGGCAAGCTGGAGAGGATTAATAGGGGGGAAAAGGGACATATGTAATAATTTCAACAATAAAGATTTTAAAAATCCTATATAATAAAAAAGCGAATATGCAAATCGACCGAACGTCGAATGACCGGTCCCTATGATCGCACTGACCACCAGGGGGCAGATGCTCAACGCAGGAGCTGCCCCCTGGTGGTCAGTGCACTCCTACAGAGGGAGCGCCACTCAGCCAGAAGCTGGGCGCACAGCTGGCGAGAGCAGCGGCAGTGGTGGGAGCCTCTCCTGCCTCCATAGCAGAGCTAAGGAAGCAGGCCTAAGCCATCAGTAGGACATCCCATAAGGGCTCCCAGACTGCGAGAGGGCACAGGCCGGGCTGAGGGACCCCCGCCCCCTGCCACTGCACAAATTTCATGCACCGGGCCTCTAGTAAATAAAGAAATGACAATTCAAATATGCAAAAACAGAAAAGTCCTTAATGCTCTCAAGTGACCAGTATTCTTTGGAAGCCAGTTTAAGCGCATGTCCTTTATGAGCACGTCTATTATCCAATTTTAGTGCAGGTCAAACCATAAATCTTACAGATTAATAAAAAGATCTCCTAACATTTCATCTTAGAAAGAGTAGAGGACCTCCAACTCATCTTGTTTACTTAAACAATAATTTCTTGAGTTGAAAAAAATATTAATGGATGTTTCAGATTCTCTCAAGTTATATATGTTCTTCCTTAGCATCTAAAACATGTTTTGTCTATCAGATCCATTATCATGCATCTAGCTCCTTGCTGCCCCACTGTGGATTATTTTGTAATAAGGTCACTAACATGCCTTTTTCAAGAAATGAAAAATAATTTGGCTTGAAAAATGTGAACTTTCCAGACCTACGTATTCAGAGTATCTCTAAAAGTATTTACATTAACTCATCTTATGCTTTGCCCTCCCATATCCTACCATTTCATTACTGTTGTTCTGTTCATTTAAAATGAGTGCAGAGTTGCTTAGAGATAAGTAAAATACTTAAAACCATGGATTTAAATATGACAAAGTAAAAAACAATTACTAAGATTAAGTGTTTGTTATTAGAATTATTTTGCTTAACATATTAGCAAATATGAATACTCTAATTCATTAGTAAGGTGGTCAACTTAAAAACAATAAATTTCAATATGTTCATAATTCAAGAATGAGGTATGAGGATATAGTTATTAAATGACTAATGTATCCAACTATCTCACAGGTGTTCTGATAATTAGTGGCCATTGGCCATATAGCCGAAAGAATCAATTTCTAATAATTCAAGTTGTTCTTACCACCTCAGTAAATTGATTCTAGGTTAAAGAAACATTCTATGTTTTCATTTATAAAATAAAAATCTAAATAATATTTTAGATGTGGTATATATAATAAAGACCAAAAGAGCTTAAGAATTTTGAGAACACAAATAAATCAATTCCAGCTCTACCTGAAGCTCTCTCCTTCATCACCCAACTTTATTTCCAGGATACCCCAAAATTACACTTCTGACTGATGAAGAAATTAGGTAACAATATTCCATTAAATCAATGCTATTCGGTTAACAGCTCAGCACAAGAACCCAAAGCACTTTTTCCATAGCATGAGAACATCTGTGAATTCCAGACTTTAAGTATACACACAACGGGCTACCCCTTGATCAGTGTAACTCTTTGTTCATGAAGTACTATGTACAGGTGGATATCTAATAACTACCAATTGATGGTAAGAGCTAAGGCTGAATAGACAGCAATTCAGAGTACCAATTAGTTGAGAAAGAAGTGGGCAGCTCTAGTAGGAAGAACTGCAGTTGGTTAGAATTAGATTTAAATTTTAGTTCCACACCTTACCAGGCACACAACTGGGGTCATGTTGCTTTAAACTTGAACCGGTTTTCACAAAAAAAAAAACACAAAACAAAACAAAACAAAAAAAAACTTGAACCTGTTTTTACAACTGGAAAATGAAAATAACTCAAGTCTTGCAGTGTTATGATGAGAATTTAGAATACCAATAAAGTACCAAGCATAGAGCCTGGCACATAACAGGTACTCAATAAATATTTTCTCCTTCCCTTTCTTGGTCTATTTATTGATAGTAACTTTTAAACATTATCAGGTTTTTAAACATTGCCCCTGCCGGATGGCTCAGTTGGTTGGAACTTCATTCCTGCACCAAAAAGGTTGCAGGTCTGATTCCCAGTGGGGGCACATATGTAGGTTGTGGGTACAATTCCTGGTTGGGGGAGGGAGGGGAGGCATTGTAGGAGAGGCAACCAATAGATGTTTCTTTCCCTCTCTTAAAGCAATAAAAACTTATTCTTGGCCCTAACCAGTTTGGCTCAGTGGATAGAGAGTCGGCCTGCGGACTGAAGGGTCCCAGGTTCAATTCCGGTCAAGGGCATGTACCTTGGTTGCAGGCACATCCCCACTAGGGGGTGTACAGGAGGCAACTGATCGATGTTTCTCTCTTATTGATGTTTCTAACTCTCCATCCCTGTCTCTCTCATCGATGTCTCTAACTCTCTATCCCTCTCCCTTCCTCTCTGTAAAAAATTAATAAAATATATATTTTTTAAAAAACTTATCCTTGGGTGAGGATTTAAAAATAAGTTTTTATATATAAAAATTTTATTTTAAAAAGTAGATTAGGAGAATATTGGAAATAAAAATATTAAGTAGACTATTTTTCTGAGCAATTGAAATGTTTCCTCCATTTACTAAACAAATCAGAGCAACTGAGAAGCAGAAAAATGCTAAAAAGTGAGAAATTGTATCTCTTCACTAAGCTCCTCTGAAAGTATAAAACATTCTAAGCATTTATTTTCCAGACCCCAGAGGTTATTTAAGAATATATTTAGCACTGAATGTGAATATCTGAACTTTCTTAAGTATCAAGCAACTTTAAAATGGGCCAAGAAAAAATTAAACATTTCATTCACAGTCATCAGAAAAAGCAAATTCAACTAAATGGCATCAAAAACATTATTTGGTGTTGTGAAGAGTGGTGTCTAAACAATTACATAAACACAAAAGAATATGTAACACAGAATCATTAAAATCACTGTGCTGTAAACATGCAGTCACAGAGCTCAACAATACCCACAGTAAATGAGGTTAAATTAATTCTTCAGGTTTTGGTTCAATGTGCTAAAATATTACCAGCTTATTTTAAGCCCATCCTATCTAATAAAGAGGGAATATGCTAATTGACTCACACGCCACTGCAAAGATGGCAGCACCCACAGCCAATAAGGAGGGAATATGCTAATTGACTGCCCGCCCTCAAAGATGGTGGCACTCACAGCCACAAGATGACGGCGCCCAGCTCCCTCAGCCCCGCTGGGCAGCAGGTGTTTGGCAAGGCCGGGCCAGGCCACTCTGTGTGCCTGCCTCCAGAGTTCCCCAATCCCCTCAGCCCCCCAGCTGCCCAAGGCTGCCCGAGGCTCAGGAAACCAGGGCCGGCCGAGGCTTGCGCTGCCGGCAGTGGCAGCAGCAGAGGTGTGATGGAGTGTTCCTGGAGTGTGAGAGGAGGCTGGCTGGGCTGGGGGACCCCCCAACCATGCATGAATTTTCATACACCGAGCCTCTAGTTTTAACATAAAGTGTTGCTTTCAACTCTATGCTTCTGAATCAAGTTTTCTTAAAGCAAGTAACCACGAACTAGTTAGAGAATTCTCAAGTAAACTTAATTTCTAAAAAGAGAAAGGGCTACTGTACTTCTGATACTAAAGTACAAAGTAGATGGAAAATTTCCTCTAACCTTCAGTTTCCTCATGTTTTACAACCATGATAATAGTCTTCTCATAGACTTATTTCTTTTTAAAATATATTTTATTGATTTTTTACAGAGAGGAAGGGAGAGGGATAGAGAGAGAGAAACATCGATGAGAGAGAAACATCGATCAGCTGCCTCCTGTACACTCCCTACTGGGGATGTGCCTGCAACCAAGGTACATGCCCTTGACCAGAATTGAACCTGGGACCTTTGAGTCTGCAGGCCAACGCTCTATCCACTAAGACAAACTGGTTAGGGCACATAGACTTTTTTAAAGATTAAATAAGGTTAGGCATGAAAAATTGCTGACACATAAAATCTGTCATATAGTAAAAGCACTAAAATGCTTGAATTATCTTGTATTATCTAAACAAAGACTAGCATTAAGAATAAAACCAAAAAAAGAAAAAGAATAAAACCAGGGGGTCACCGTTTAATTCCCAGTCAGCACACATGCCCAGGTTGTGTACTTGGTCCCTAATAGGGGGCATGCAAAAGATGGCTGATCGATGCTTCTTCTCTCATCACTGATGTCT